GACAAGTACATAAGTTGACATAGTTAAGAAATTTTGAATTTATCAGACATATACATATATTTGCATAACATGGCCAAGATGTTAATATAAATGAAGGAATAGTAGCTGGCAATCACTGAATATATGATATAAGCCAATAGGCTCTAAGTTCCTCATCTGAATAAATATATTCCTCACAATCGCCCTGGGAGGTAAACCTTGAAAAGCTTCAAAAATGTATTGTTGAGTTCAATCTGTTAAATTCAGTCAAAACTTTTAGGATATGCTGTGCACAAACTGTTTTAGGTTATGAGAGAAAGAAATGAGATATAAGCCCTGGACCTTAAAGAATGCCTAGCCTACCCTACAGACTGACTGAGAAATACTGTTTAGATGCTCTCTGTAACAAAGAACTAGAATGGGTTTAACAAAAAAAGGGACTGCATGAATATTAGTTTTGTAATCAGAGACAAATTCATTCAAACACTCATAAGAAGACTAAACGTGCTGCCACTTGGTTCTGTCTTTCAGAGTAAAAGTTGTGACTTAAATGAGTAGAGTAGAGGTTAGAAAACAAGAAGTTCATAAATTTGAGACCTCTAATTTGATATTTAATCTGAAATCATGAAGTTTTGTACAGACCCACGCATATGCACACTCACGTACACACACACACTAAGGTAATATTAATTCAAGGTGTAAGTATAGGAAGAAGCTTATTTCCAAATAGACACTATTTTCCCTTGTTTATACACATGTGTTATTCATCAGAAAATAATTTTTGAAAATGATTCTCATGTTTAATACCTGTCAGGTGAGTATATTAGAAAAGGAGGATGAGCTCTGTGGCGCAACGGCAAAGTGTTGCTCAAGAAAAGCTGGATCCCACATGATAACAAGGGTTCAAGTCCCTGAAAATCACTGGGCACAAATGCAAGTGCCCAAAATCCAGTGTTGCCCTGGAGGACTGGAGCAAGGAGACTGCAGCATGAACAGATCTGGTGGAGAGTGCTCCTCTCTATTTCTCTCTCTCATGTGCATTCACATAACTATCGTGCCTAAAAAATAATTAAGGGGAATATATTTTATTTCTATATTTAGCTAATAATTTAGGCCTGATAAGGTATTGGGTCATTGGGGAAGTTGTGATGCATTTTTACATAGAAAAACACATCATGGGGGCCAGCAGGTGTGGTAGTTAAAGAGTGTGGACCCTCCCACATGGCCAGCTATGGTTAAGAGTCCTAGACCTAGTGGCTTGCTGGCTTTCTCACTTTCTCTCTCTCTCTCTTCCTCTCCCTACTTTCCCCCCCTGGTCAAATTAAAATAAAGAAAGAAAGAAAAGTAAAAAAAAAAAAAAAGAAAGAAAAACACATCATGACTTTCCCAATGACCTAAAAGTATATCAGATGAAATTGAAGGAAAATATGCAAACTTTTAACATATCCAAAGTTAGGGATTTTGAAAAAAAAAAAGTGTTTTTTGTGCAAGTTGGAAGATGCTCCTTTATACTTTCTAAAAGACAATTTATACAATAGTATCTGAATGAAGAAAGCTCAACTTGGGAAACATAGACTCTGGCTCTTTATACACAGTTTGACTAGTTACAAAGCTTCGTATTATCTTTTTCCTGATGTCCATACCTCACCTGTGATAATATGCCAAGGTAAAAATGCTCTCTTGGAGCTTTTATTTATCTTCCAGAAATTTAGCAAAATTATTTTTTTTTTAATTTAACTTTATTTATTTTTTAATTTGACCAGAAAGAGACAGAGGAGAGAGAGAGAGAAAGTAAGAAAGCAAGCTGCCAGGTGTGGGACTTGAACTGCTGTCAGCTATGTGGGAGTCCAACACCTTAACCACCGTGGCACTTTTTGGTCCTACTAATGTGCTTTGATCTCTTTATTTATTTATTTTATGCCAGAGGCTGCAAGTATGAGAGAGAGGCACCTCTTTCAATGGGGCCTGTCCATACCACAATCCTTTTTATCTTTGGTTCTCCATCCCATCAAGATCCTAGTGTGTTTTTCAAGCCACTGGAGGTGGGAGGAAAACCCCAGCACTGGTTGGTCATGTAGGATGTGGCTTCTTCTGTGAGGGTGGCACTCTCTTTATTATTTTAAAATTCAAAATTACAGTTTTGTACCTCCTCACAGGCTTGGTTCTCATTATCTTTGGAGTATATGACTTCCAAAATGGTACATGTCAGACTCTGTACTCTGAAAGCAAAAAAGCACCTGAAGGAGCATTGTGGTAACATTTTGAGGGTTTTCTGTGTCAACTTCACCTAAAGAAAAGCTTCATGTTATGTGTTTTGCATTAATTTAGAGTAATTTGAGAGTCCTTTAGGTCAAGAGAGGGGCATGGGAGTCTATGCATACTTCAATTTTCTTTTTTCTTTCTTTCTTTCTTTCTTTCTTTCTTTCTTTCTTTCTTTCTTTCTTTCTTTCTTTCTTTCTTTTCTTTTCTTTCTTTTTAAAGGTTTATGCCATAAGATATTTGTGCTTACCAGAGAGACATAGTGAAAGGGAAAGTGTAAAATCACCTCCAAGGGGGGGATGGCCAGGCCACAATCCCTTCTTCCCCAATCTCCTCTCAGAATCACACGTGCCCAGCACAATTTCCAAGCTGCCAAATCAGAGACTCAAATCGCTGTCAGCCCTGTGGGAGTCTTGTGCCTTAACCACCATGCTACTTGCTGGTTTTGATTCTTCATTTCTAAGAAGTGCCTGTGTGTGAGCCATGCTCTGAGTAGCAAGCATCTAGACCGAGCACCAGAGGTTATTTAAAAAAGGAATTATTTTTCTTTTTTTGGAGAGGTTTTTGCTATAGGGCACGTGCGCTCACCAGGAAGACAGAGAGAGACAGAGAGATAGAAAGCAAGAAATCATCCCCCCCGGGGTGGGGGCCACGCCGCAATCCCTTCTCCTCCATTCTTCTCTCAGGATCTTGGGTATGCACGCACACGCACCTGGCGTGAGTTAAGGAAATGTGTCCAGGACTCAAACCGTGGTCGACTATGTGGGAGTCCAGTGACATAGCCATTATGCTAACTGCTGGTCCCTAAAAAAGCACATTTTGCAACCAGATAATAAGCTTGATTAATTATTGCTGCCATCCATGAAAATCAGAGGAACCTGTCTACAGTAATACATGGTTCAGTTTGTTATCAAAGCACATACCATTCTGCTATTGGTCACAAGAAATTCTTAAATATTTAGGATTCTACTTAGAGAAATGACAAGAATATAATGCAAGACATTATGTGATGTTCTTCTTTAAAAATATTGTTAGAGGGTACATACACTAACCAGAGACAGAGAGAGAGGAGGAGAGGGGGAAAGTGTCATTCTTTTTTCTTTTTTACTCTAAAATAAGCATTATCTTCATTGTCTAAGACTTATGGTAAATGTTAGATGAAATTTGAAGTATTTAGAAAGCAATTTAACAGAGAACAGAAGACTTCATATAGTTTCTAAACAAAATAGGTTTTTATATCATCACCATTTGTCTAAACAAAAGTATACTCTTCAAAAGTTTTTTGGTATTAGGTGGAAATTGATCATGAAGTCATATTTAAAGTAAAAAATCCAATTAAGTGTCATGGATCTGTTGAGTAGATAAGTTCTTACATTATCATCTGGAAGGCCTTGCCAGCATAAAGATACAGCCTATGGAGGCAAACTATGTCATACCAGTTACTCTTAATTTAATTAATTAAAATTCACTAAGTCTTCTTCCTGACTTGATGTCCTTTGCTTGTCTATTTTTTTAAAGTTCTATTTTATATTTTTTGTTGTCATAAGGCATGTGTGTTTGACAGAGAGAGGAGAGAAAGTGAGAGAGAAAGTGAGAACTCACCCCCTCCCCCCAAAGGAGGAGATGGTCATGCTTCAATTCCTTCTCCTCTTGGAATTTTGAGCATGCCCAGTGTGATTTTCAAGTTGCCTGGTCTGGGACTTGAACTGTCATTGGACATGTGTAAGTACATTGTCTTAACCACCATGACCCCACTGGCCCCCCTTGGCTTCTTTACTATGCTCCAGTGTTTCCTTATTAATACTGCTTTTCTTCACAGACCTTTTCTTCTTCACAGAGCTTTCTCTTCTACTGTGCTTCTGTTCTGCCCTGCAAAGATGTAGTAGAAAGGAAAGTCTTTGCTGCCAGAGTCCTAAAACCAAATTTAGTGTAGAGTCTGCCACTGGAGACCTGCATGGCCCAGTATGTAACACACACTCCTTTATTTGTGTCGATACTACTTTGCTGGATTATTATGAGGATTAGTGATAATATTTTTTAACCATTTATATGGAAATTGCAGGTGGAAAATAGGCAATGATTGTAAGTTTTTGTTATTATTTCATTGTCAACTCACATACGTTCTACTTTAAATTTTCTTGGAAGCCCTAAACATGGACACGGTTTTACTTCCTTTAATATCCACAGGTACATTTTACTTGTACCTTGTTACTTTCATGTGTGGAATTATGGTATTATGTATAAATTACAGTATGTATAGATTATCTCCTCAATAAGATTTGAAATTCATAAAGAAAAAAATCAGGTTTCTATATTCATATATACACCATGCTTCTAGTCAAAAGCTTGCAAAACGAATGAACATCTCTTTAATAAAGCAAAAAAAAAAATTTTTTTTGAGAGGTTTTCACTATAGGGCACGTGCGCTCGCCAGACAGACAGAGAGAGACAGAGAGATAGAAAGCGAGAAATCACACCCCAGGGGGGATGGTCACACCGCAATCCCTTCTCCTCCATTCTCCTTTCAGGATCTTGAGCACGCACGCACACACGCCCGGTGTGAGCTTTAAGCCACAGGGTCCAGGACGCGAACCGTGGTCGACTATGTGGGAGTCCAGCGACATAGCCATTACACTAACTGCTGGTTCCCAAAGCAAAAATTATTTTCATGCAAAACTTAGTTTTTAAGTTGGTTGGTAATTCTGGTTTTTCACAACTTGCTCAACTTTTCAATGCCTCACTAAATTAAATTACATCAAACACCAAATGTTTCACAATATTTTCCCTCAAATATGATTTATTTAGCAATCATAGGTAATAGGAAGTACAGACAATTACGACATAATAAAAACATAGAATTACAGAATTTTATGTTAGAAATGAAATAAAAGAAGTTCTGGCTAAAGAAAAAAGCATATGAACTTGCAAGCTATCTATGTTGGGAAGCATAGAATAAAAATGCAAAGCAGGACAGTCAAGGTACAGCAGCCTAATTCCTCTATCCCCCTCTTCAGAAGGACTCAAAAGTGATGTTTGCAGAAGGGACGGGCACAAGCAGTCTCCACTCTGACTTCGTGTTAGTTGATACTCATTAGTAGATGTCCAACAGAGTTAGAGGAAGGAAAGAATACAGAAGATGAAAAGGAGAAGGAGATAAGGAGGAAGTATGGGAGACAGGAGGAAAGAGGGAGAAAGGGAGATAGGGAAAGTTAAGTGGAATAAGCAGCGTGACAACTGTTCTGACGTGCACTGTTTTCTCCACTCCCTCTGGAAATTCAGTCACAGTGCTTTTTAAGTCACATAACCTGAAAATTAGGCTAAAGTTCATATACAGAATTTGATGAATTCTTTACAGTCCTCTATTTTTCAGCCACAAAAGTCTGGAGATGTTATAGTATTGAAAGGAACAACGTGATATATTTCCTATATCATATCAGAAAATGTCTCATTTTACTTCTCCCTTAAAAGATTCTTAGCTTTACTGAAAGACAAGTGGCTCAAATAGAAATAATAGTAATTAGATTTCCCAGATAGTCTGAGTTCATCTGAAATGCACATTTTCTGGTGAGTAGCTCATTTTAAAAAGAAATTAAAAGCAGTAGTTATAGTATCTTCATAAATAGAAATAAAAAGTTCATTTTTAAAGGACAAATGTCATCATGATGTACATATCTATAAAATTTTCCCCAACACATTATTATAGATCAGTCTTTACTGCTTACATTTAACACATCAATTGCATTGTAATGTCTATGATACAATTCAATTATTTAGCTGTGCTCTGCACACAATTCAGTGAAACTAAAGCTAAGGACCTTATTCACAGAACATTTAAAAGCATTTTGTACACAGTCTACACACAAATATATCTTAAATTATGATGGTGCATACAAAATATGCATATAGAATATGGCTTACACGTTAAAAGAGATATCAGTTGTGAGTTCTAAATTCTCACCCCTTAGGCTTAAAAGCTTCTCATTGTACTCATTTCTAAAATATTGCTTAGCACTGTAGAACCCAGGAAGGAAGCAAGTGCAACAGAAAATCCTTTAGGATGGATGGAACCTCCTTCATGGCATTTCCTGATGACTATTCTTGATTCTTGCCATCTAATTTTTACCTTTGACAAAGACAAGTTTACTCTAAGTCCACAATCATTGAAGTATTTGTACAGTGAAAAGTTACAACACCTAATTGTGTTTGACCTTTCTTGTCAGCTAGTAACAAAAGTAATTCTTCAGCTTGGAGCAAAGAATAGGCTTTGCACATGCTCAGGCAAAACATGACAAGGAAGTAGGCCCGCCAAGGATTGCAGTTGGTTTCTATGTAGTAATGATAAAGTCACGTCAAATAATGATATCTGTACAGTAAAGTGTGGACTTCCATCTTCCATTTTCAACATTTTAAAACACACACACACACACACACACACACATAAACGTGTGGGTGCACACACACACACAAGTGCACACACATACTTCTTGTTGCTTATCACTTGGCCTGGCATGTATTTTGTTACATCTTGATAAGATCCACACCCCAGAGGACGACCACTCTCTCTGTCTCCAACAATGGCTGATGATTCTTGTTATTCTAGACTGTAGGCAGGAAAAGCGTGACTTGTGTTGTGAGCACACCCAGGTAGGTGATGTATTCATGCTTTGAAGTCACGGGATGAGTTCAGGCTGCTCCACAGGTTTCAGGAAAAGATTTCGCTGCCATTGTCCAGTGTGAAAGTTACAAAGGGATTTTCTAGATCACTGAGCTTGGGCTACAATGCTCCATTGTTGATGTACGACTTCAACTATAGCTTTAAGGAGCTCCGCCTCTCATTTTTGTGGCCATGCATTTAAAATAAGGATAATTGCTTGTTCCCCAGCACTGCAAAATTTTTCTTCATAATTTTGTTTTTGCTTTGCTTAAAACCTTGAAAAATGTGTAGTAACAGCACTCTGTAAGACAGTGCAAAGAAGTAAATTTTAGAGTACTTCACTTCTGCACATATATTGGACAGTCTGTACGATTAGGTTCAAACTGATGAAAATTTAAAATGGTCTGATTTTTGTTTAAAAAATTTCTCTGGCTTGATTGAAGAAGGCCAAATTGTGAAGGAAAAATGATGGTGAAAGCACTGTCCAAAAACTCTGGTAGTAACGTAAGCATATTTATTTGACCAGAGTTACTAGTTCAAAATCTATGTTCTTAATTCCTATACAGGAGTCCATAAAAATGTTCCGATTCAATTGTATGTTGAAAGAGAAGAATAAAGCTTGGTGAAAAGTTGAGGAATTTGGATGTTTTAGTGCTGTTTTCATTATCCTGAAAAAAAAAAATCCAAATAAAAGTGAAGATCAGAGAAGAAAGGGTTAAGAGGGAAGACTGGGGATGTTGATTAAAGGATACAGGAGAAATAGGTTCGAGATCTACTGCACAGCATGGTGACTACAGTTAACAACAATGTATTGTATTCTTAAGAATTACTGAGGGCAGGGAACCAGCAGTTAGCATAATGGATATGTCGCTGGACTCCCACGTAGTCGACCGCGGTTCGCGTCCCGGACCCAGTGGCTTAAAACTCACGCCGGGCGCTTGTACGTGCATGCCCAAGATCCCGAGAGGAGAATGGAGGAGAAGGGATTGCAGCGTGACCATCCCCCCCTGGGGGGTGATTTCTCGCTTTTTGTCTCTATGTCTCTCTCTGTCTGTCTGGCGAGCGCATGCGCCCTATAGCAAAAAAAAACTCTCAAAAAAAATTACTGAGGGCAGACTTTAAGTATTTTCATAACAAAAAAGTGACAAGTATGAGAGGTAATAAATATTTTAATTAATTCAATTTAGCCTTTTCACAATGTATACATATTTCAAAACAGCCTGTGGTATACAAAAAATACATAATTTTTGTCAATTAAGCAATTAAAAAGAAAAATAGATGATAGTATTTAGTGATATATAGGCAATAATTACTGTGTGATAATTTCACATCGGACTTTAATACCTTGTCAAAATTAAGGAAATTATCAACCAATTTTCACCATTCCTGTTGATTTTAAGACTTGTCCACTTTCCTCATTTAAAAGAACCTGCGTATTCCTTGAAGGTACATGAATTTCACCTCCTGAAAGTCATGTTTCCTGGAAGATTATGTACCAAAGGCAGGGAATTCTCAAACTGAGAAGAACACTAAAAATTCAACTGATCTTGAGAGAAAAAATAATTAATTGCCTGGGGTTTGAATATGATTAATATTATCTTCAGTTTGAGTGGCTCTCAAATTTTTCTAGCTTTTGATTCTTTTTAGTTGAGAAGATAAAAGTCTTTGTTAACTGCCAACTGAATCTCATCAAAACTTTTTATTAATGAATTATCATTATATATAATTATATATATATATAATGATGTGTGTACATATATATATATATATATATATATACATGTGTGTGTGTGTAATTGTGTGTGTTTGCTTTAGATATTTTTATATACTCAACAGTCATTTTTACAAATGTATTGGTAATCTATATTTCCTGTACGTATTTTTGGAAATTGTTCATAAGTTGTCCATACTCATAGCATAAATGTTTAGGCAATCCTGATCTTAAAATTTACTTTTTGTTGTTGTTGTTCTTGGTTCTTGTTTTTTCTTTTGATATTATCTAGTGTATAGTAACTTGGAGATCCTATAGGAAAGAATCCTTTAAAAAAACATTTTTTACTCAAAATGTACGTAAATATTCCACTAAATTACTTTTCCATATATTTGCTTTGAGGGCTCCATCATATATTATATCATCAAAATCCAAGGACTCTTGGGACCAGCAGTTAGCATAATGGTTATGTTGCTGGACTCCCATGTAGTCGACCGCGGTTCACGTCCCAAACCCGGTGGCTTAAAAGTCACACCGAGCATGTGTGCGTGCGTACCCAAGATCCGAAGAGGAGAATGGAGGAGAAGGGATTGTGCCGTGGCCATCTCCCCTTGGGGGTGATTTCTCGCCTTCTGTCTCTCTGTCTGCTCTGTCTGTCTGGCAAGCGCACACGGCCTATAGCAAAAACCTCTCCAAAAAAAAAAACAGACATTCTTACAACTATCCTTGCAACTCAAGAATACTGAGGAAGAAATTATCTTAAAAGATAATCACATTTTGGGACCAGCAGATGGAATAATGTTTACATCGCTGCACTCCCACGTAGTTAACCATGGTTTGAGTCCCAGACCTGACAGCGTAAACTCACACTGGCACCTGTGCATGTGTGCCCAAGATCCCAAGAGGAGAATGGAGGAGAAGGGACTGCAGTGTGGCCAGAACCCCTGGGGGGTGAGTTCTGATTTCTTGCCTTCTGTCTCTCTCTCTGTTTCTGGCGAGTGCATGCACCCTATAGCAAAATCCTCTCAAAAAAAAAAAAAAAGAGAGAGAGAGAGAGAGAGAGAGAGAGAAAAGATGTCACATTTTAGCTCTTCGATATCTAAAGCAACAGTTGGGGAGCTCATGATACTATCTCAAAGGCTTCATCTGGTACCCTCAGCATTTTCTCTTGCCCTCACCATCACCCCATAGCAGGACTTTTTATAACGGTTGGATTTTGTTTCTTACATTATTTTAGGTGACATTAAAACATCTCCACTATAAACATGCATTCTTCTTTTCTAACTGCCTAAACCTCCTTCAAATACCCAGGACAGCGATTTTCAATTTTAGTGGATAGAAATATCAGCAAACTTATTAAAAATTCAGATTTCCAGCCTAGCTCCAGTGGAAGGGCACTGCTGCATGATGCTGACACCATATAGGAAGGTCTGGAGTTCAGATCCCAGGTGTGCCCAAACACACTAAGAGTGGTTTCTCCCTCTCTCTTTCTCTAAAGCAATAAATTCATTAAAAAGGTTTTTTATATTTCCAAAGCATTACACCACTTGGATGTAAGCCTTAGAAGCTAAATTTTTAAAAAGAGACCCACTAATGCACATGCCCACAGGTTTATTTTTACAGTTTGGCCATAGAGCAAGTACACTCATCAAAACATGGAGAGGAAAGAGGGCAAGAGAGATACAGAAAGTGAGAAATCACCCCCTGGGGGATGTCCATGCCACAATCCCTTCTCCATTCTCCTCTCAGGATCTTGGGCATGCACGCACATGCACCCAATGTGAGTTTAAGCCACCAGGTCTGGGACTCGTACTATGGTCGACTACATGGGAGTTCAATGACATAGCCATTACGCTAACTGCTGGTCCTGCCCACAGTGATTTTTCAAGCTACTGGGTCTGGGACTCGTACCACAGTTGGTCATGAGGGAATCCACCCACCTTAACCACCATGTCCCGTGCTAGTCCCACATGCTCACAGATTTTAATGAGCATATTTGTTCCAAAGTATGTGCTAGCTTTGTTTTCATCATTTTACTCAACATTCATATTTACTACTTAAAATTTTTAAAAAAATCTGTGTAAAACATTAATATTTTTCCTACATGAAGTAAGAAAAAGAAATGGGGATTAGATAGCCTCATTAACTATAGTTTATGATTTTTAAAGGACTAAATTTTTAGTCTCAGTAAGTACAATTTTTATTGATGACTGAATTAAGAACTCCTTAAAAGATAAATATTTAAATTTTACCTGTTAAGGTTTTGCCTCTGAAGATTGAATATAAAGACTAAAAGAAAATTAAGGAGGGCATTTGAAAATATAATAAAAAACCATTAATTTTATAAATTAGGTTTTTCTGTTAGGAGTTCATTTATTTCATAGGGGTGACAACCTCAACAGGGTCTCACCATGCCACAATCCTCCCCAGCCTCCAGCTATCCAGAATCACTTGTCTAACAGCACCCCTAGTATGTCCAGGTAGACCTGGGATCCGAATCTCGGTCTCCCATGTGCCTCCAGTAGTATGCAATGGTACTTTACGGCCTGCATCACTATAGCTGGACCAATTTAAGAATTAGGCTTTTTGTTGAAAATTAAAATTACCTCTCATGTTTAAAATGACAGAAACCTTTAAGGTGTTTTAGTTCTACGGATGTGTATCAGCACATTTTTCTTCAGCATTTATGAAATCTTCTGAGTTCTTATGATGATCAGTTTCACCTATAAAAAAAATCAAGCAGAAAGACAAGTGGAAATAAAATAGGTCTTTGAAAAAAAAATCCTAGTAGGAGACGAAAGCAATTTGTAAAATGTTGACAACTGGATTTTACAATGGATGTTATGGCACATATCTCTGAAGACATCATTTTCTTTTCAGCATGTGTATTTATAGTATTACAAGGCAGCTTCTGGTTGTTATTTAGCTTTTGCTTTTGAAATTGCAATTTAATCTGGGTATATGGAAATAAAACAGATGAGGCATGTTTAAACATTTATTAAATTGCACATAAAAATTATGCACCCTTTTCCTGAATACTCTTTAATTGAAACGAATTCTTTTAAATGAACCCTCTAATGCTCACTGCTTTTATGCTATAAATTTAAGACAAGCAAGTGTAAGAGAAAAGAAATATTTAAGCTAAACTAACCTGCTAAAACACACAAATGGAATTTATATTTTAGAACATTCAGTTTCTTTTAATATGTAAACCTTAAAGAAAGATAAAACACTAGTACAGAAACCGCTATAACATGTCTATCAAAAGTAGACGTATAAAGCAAAATGTATCAATACAAGAGTCTTGCTACACAATAAACAAAGTAAGCAAAAATTAATTTTTTGACTCAATTATGCAAAATACCTTGCTATTTCAGGAAATATTCATATATGATGGGAGGCTCTTTCTGTCTGAAAATCAGTTGAAGATATTCTAACAATTGAACTTTGCACTATTGAGATAATTCCTTTACCATACAGTGCAGGACTGTGTCAACTGTGTAGCAGATATTTATTGAAGTTATATGAGATTATATAAGCAGTGAACATATAGAATTCAAAGAGTTTATAACAAAACAAATTTATGTTGTCTTCCTTTTTTGTTTTGAGAGATTTTTGTCATAGGACATGTGTGCTTGATGGAGAGACAGACAGACAGACAGAAAGTAAGAAATCACCTCTGGGGAGGTGGCCATGCCGCAATCACTTCTCCTCCATTATCCTCTCACGATTTTGGGGGCACACATTCATGCTTAGTGTGTTTCAAGCTGCCAGGTCCAGGACTAGAACCATGGTTAGTCATGTGGGAGTTTAGCGCCTTAACTACTACGCCACAACTGGCCCCTTCCTACTCTTTCTTTAAAATATTTTCAGATCTGTTCCCTTAGTGCAGCAATTAAGAACTGTACAGAGAAAGTCAGATTCTTCAAGGATGACTAGAGTTTTGAGTTCTAGCCCCAGCCATTTGAAAGATATGCTGGGTCATAATGGGATGGAGAATTGAAGGACAAAGAATTGTGGCATGACTAGGCCTTATTGAGAGCTGCTTTTTCTCTCTCTTAACTCTGGCACAATTACATATGTGTATACACACATACACACACACACACACACACACACACACACACACACATATATATATATGTATATACTTTTTTTCCATAAAGAGAATATTGTTTTCTTTGCCAGGACTAAAATGCCAGGTAGTTTCATGAGTTTTCTGTTCACTTTTAGATAATAAAAGACATCCTATGATCAGACTGTCCAAGTCCTAATTCAGACATTAGGAAATCTTGTCACATACACTATACATCAATCATCTATGGTCAACGACTTCTTTCCCATTTTGGATTTGGTATGAACCCCAAAATATGTGGGGATTTGGGGGTATGGTTGATGTTTCCTTCACTTCATGTTTGCTTTCTCACAAATGGCTATTTTGAACTCTTGAACTGAAGCAAGGGAAGAAGAAGGTAAAGAGGAGCAGATAAGTTCCCACTGGACTGACAGTATTGAAGGATGGTTCCCACCTGTTAGACCTGGTGGCTGTTCCAAGTCGACCCCCACAACCTTTCTGTGCACATATTCAAGGACTCTCCTTATTGCCAAGGACTATGCTGGAAACTGCTGGCCTGCATGGCCAGGGCATATGAATCCCTGGTTTCTTTTCAATGTCCACAGCCTCCTGGAAATGTGTTGGTACATTTCCACCTTCTGTCTGCCAAGTTCCCATCACTCTTCCAAATCCGGTGTGCTATGTTGGGCCATGTGAAATATTCATGAGGTACTTGTTCCTATGAACTACTCAAGGAAAGGCTAAAACCTGCACAGCATCCTCGCCTCTGGCTCATCAGTCACATCTGATTCAGATTGCTCAGATAGGAACAAGATTCCATTTCTAACACCCCTTAGCGTCAAGCTCTCCAAGCGTCCTGGTGGAGCTCTTGTCCCCTGATTTGAGGTAAAGAAGGAAAGAAGGTAGCGTCTCTGCACTTTCCCCAACAGCAGAAATCTCACTAAAGAAATTCTCTTCATAGATCTTTTATCAGCTTTTAGCAACCTGACCTTTGCATTTATTTAAATCAGGCAAGAGTTTTAAGCATCCTATAACTTGTTTTTAAATTATTTTTAGAATTCCTGTCTCACTACTCTGTTTTCTGACACTTATCATCTTCAACTCTTGGCTTAAACTTCCGATGTAACATCCTGTTAGGCAAGGCTAGATTAGAATGGAACAAAAACGTTTACAACAGACCAGAGTGTAAGGAATAGATTCAGCTAACAAAACGGAATGTAAGTGACTAATAAAGCTACTTGTTCTCAAATTTATTGAGAGAATTTTTTATAATGGGCTAGGGAAAGGACATCAAAGGGAAGGATACCGATCACCAAATGCTCTTACTTCTAGCAGATAAAGAACTTACCAGTGACAAAAGAGAAATCAAATAGTAACAATGCAGCAATTATAAAAAAAAAAATCCCAAAATAATATACAAATTTCAAGAATGTTTGTTGTACATGTAATTACAAAGCTAACTGGTAAGGGGACAGCAGGTGGCATGGTGTTTAAGGTGCTGGACTCACAGGACTCATCATGGTTTGAGTCCTGGATCCAGTGGCTTGAATCTCACGCCATGTTCATGTATGTGTGTGCCCAAAATCTCAGGAGGAGAGTGGAGGAGCAGGGATTGTGTTGTGGTCATCCCCTCAGTGAGTGATTTCTCACTTTCTCTCTCTCTGTGTCTGTCTCTCCAGTGAGCACATATACTCTATAACAAAATCTCTCCAAAAGTAAAAAGAAAAAAAAAAAAGAAAGAAAAGAAACAATTAGAGTTCTAGAGCACTGAAAAAGTATCTTTCTTAGAAACTGTAAAATTCCAATTGTTTTTTTTGGAAATACACAAAGCAGTGCTGAGCAATTTCATGACAGCCAGGTTCTTTAGGAAAATACTGAATTAGAGTCCTCAGCAAATCCAAATCATGTTACTTTTAATTAGTAAATCTTTAGTTGCAGAAAACTTTCGATTAACTTGGTAATGTGACTGATAAGTAACCATCGTCTCCCATAGAAAGAAAGTCATATCCTTATGATATATCATTCTACCGAAAAAGAATAGATGCTTTGCCTTGTTTACTCCATTAAGAACATCTTAGACGATCTTCAAAGTCCAAGAATGGTCTGTGTAAAAAGACCTTAAGAAACATCCACATAGTAGAAGGTTCCAAAGTATTTTTGAATCATGGACCTTTCTTGTAGTATGGTGAAATCTATGACCTTCTTTTCAAATAAATTTTTTCAATAAAATAAAATACGTAAGACTACAAAGAATTCTACTTAGATTATTTTTTGTGTTTCTATTTATTTATTTAAAAATATTTTTACAGTCAATTACTATGTATCATTACAGCATACCAAATGAGAATTCTACTTATATTAAGATGTACTTTTGTGATCAGCAGGTGGCATAGTGGTAGATGCGCTGGACTCCCACATGGCTAACTACAGTTCGAGTCCTGGACCTGGCAGCTTATAACTCATGCTGGGTGCATATGCATGCATGCCCAAAATCCCAGAAGGAGAATTGAGGAGAAGGGATTACAGCATGGCCATCCCCTCAGAGGGAGATTTCTCACTTTCTCTGTCTCTGTGGCTAGAACACAAGACCTATAGTAAAAATCTCTTCAAAAAAATGTAATTTTAATATCAACATATTAAAGTAAATCTAGTAAATCTCTGATATGTTATAGTAATATACATGCTTTATTATTAATACATCAAACAATAATGTCTAACTGTAGGTCTATTATCTGTGCAATTCAAAAATAATAGTAATATTATATGATATCTCGAGTTCTGTCCACTAAATATATTATTTAAAAATCTATGTTTCTATTAGTGACAAACAAAAATATCACAAATGTTAATGTATTGTTGCTTACAAATATAGACAATGTTGATTATCAGTTAAAGGCTAATATAAAAGCACCTCTCCAAGTATACAGACCCCTATCTGTATAAATAACCTTAAGTGAGAAAGTGTAGATCTAGTCTATCTTCATTTTCCAGGAAAGAAACAGGTCCAGGATTATCAAGGAATTTCTTCCAGTGCAGACCACAAATACCTTGCAGTCAGACACACTGGCTTATAATTTGTGCTGGCACTTCAAGACCAGTAAAGTAACCTTGGAATTTCATTCCACTGGAGGATTTGTGAGTTCACATATGCAGGAAGTCATTCCTTAGGAAGGAATGCAAGGGTTTATAAGCAAGTATATAAAACTTGTCAGCCAGGAAAAATGTAAAGTCACAGACCTCTAATAATTCTGTTCAACTCAAAGATGTCCATCTAAACCAGTTTTAAAAGTTCAAACTTAAAGTAATTTTTAAAATTAGTGAAAGGTGTGGCTTTGCTTTATAACTAGTCTAAATTGAGCAGGGGACAGGGAAGTGATAGAAAGGGCAGACCTACCAAAACAAAGAGAAATTCTCTAAATTTTGTTAATCCAGACGCTTAGACTGCAGTTCGAGATCGATTTTATTATGTTAATATCATAGCGTATTAGATTCCTAAATGCAGTAAGTAATACTTGCAGGGAATACTATAAAGCACACTGTCAAGTGGACATTAGAGATTCCAGTCTTCCAGTTACGGTCTCAGTAATTACTTGAAGAATAATCTTTTATACAATTGAAAATATAAAGACAATAATGAACATATTGTGA